GGACCCCTGGGTCCCAGTCCCAGCTCCATCCACCTGGCCCTGCTGGGTGATTTCCGGGGAGCCCCTGCCTCCCTGAGCGTCACCCCCACCTCCCAGCCTGAGTCACCTGTCACCACAGACAGAAAGCGTTAGCCCCCAAGGAGCCACAGGGGAGGCGAGAAAGGGTCCCTTTGTGCTGGAGTGCTTGGGGACAGAGGCGGGCTGGACGGGCCACCTTGTCCAGGAGAACAGGCTCGCGGTGCCTACGCCCCTGGACTGCCTCACTGGAGCTCAGCGCCCCCGGCCTCTGTGAGGTTCCTTTAGCTCAGGGTCACGTGAGCCCTCCCTGCTTTGGGGGACAGGAAGCAGCCCAGCACCCCCTTAGCGCCCCGGGAGCTGCCTGGAGCTGCCCCCCCAGACGCCAGCTCCCGGCGGCCCAGCCAGCACAGACTCCGGCCTTTAAGAACGTTATTCACCCGGAGACTCCCGAGACTGTTTACGAGACGGAGCCTGGACGGGCGCGTCAAACAGCCAAAGTACCTTAAAATGCACCCTTCAGGGACATTTATATATAAATAATAATAAAAAAAAAAAAGCTCCAAACAAAAAACAAAAAACAAAACGCTCTCAGAGCCCAGGTTGTAAATAGATGGATATTACTATAAAAATACTTTTGGCTGCAGAAGCAGCTGGCAGGAAGGCTGGGGTGGTTTTTTTCCACGGTTCGCTCGGACCTGGCACTCCGAATGGGGCAGCCACCGTTCCGGGCGGTTTCGTGTGGGATCGTTTGCACCAAAGCGCCCCAAATTGAGGGGCGAGCGAAAGACAGCGGCCGGCCGCAGAAATAACAAGCGGCAGCGTCCCTTCCCACCGGGGACAGGGGTGTTTCTGGCGGGGCCTCGCCCTTGGCCGGGCTGAGGGCGGCTCACCACCTGCGGGCACCGGGGCTGATCTGCGGGGCTCTGGACCCCCGCTGCTCTCCACTGCCCCCAACTTCCCTAGGAGTGCTGGGGAGAGGCACGGGCTGGGTGACACCTTTTGGTGTTTCTCAGGAAGGAGGCCTCGGCCTTCCCTGGGGCCAGAGGGGCCGTGTTGAAATTTGCTGGAATTTGCCCAAATTTGCCGTGCGTGCTCCTCTCTGCGTCTATGCACCAACGTGTGCAAGGGCTGGGGCTGGGGCTGGGGGGGGGAGGGTGCGGTGGGGAGCCAGGCCGCCCACCGAGGAGGTGACCTCAGGAGCTTCAGCTTGGACTTTGAGGTCCCCAGGACCAGCTGTCACACAATGCTCCGCGTGTTCTGACCATGGCTCAGGCCAGCCCCTGCCTGGGTGCCTCACCCTTGTCCCTGCCTGACGAAAACCTCCTTCATTTTTTTTTTTTTTGTTTGTTTTTTTTTTTGAGACAGTCTCTCTCTCACTGTTGCCCCACACTCTGCTGTGGCATTGTCATAGCTCACTGCAGCCTCCAACTCTGGGGCTCAAGTGATCCTTCTGCCTCAGCCTCCCAAGCAGCTGGGACTACGGGCACTCACCTCCATGCATGGCTAATTTTTTCTACTTTTAGTAGAGACGGGGTCTTGCTCTTGCTCAGGCTGGTCTCTAACTCCTGAACTCAACAAGCGACCCTCCTGGCCTCAGCCTCCCAGAGTGCCGGGATTCCAGGCGTGAGCCACCACGCCCTGCGGAAAACCTTGAAAACCCAGCTCAAGACCGGCCTCAAACTTGCAGGTGTGTCTTATCTCCGCTCTGGGCTGTGGCTCCCAGAGGCAGGTGACCTGCCTAACTTATTTCATAATAGTAACAATAACTATCACTTACTGAGCCCTTCCTCTCCGGCCCAGCCTCTCCCCGCATTATCTCATTTAGTCATCTGGGTGACTCAGGAGGAGGGTGTGGCTGTTGCCATTTACAAATGAGGAAACTGAGGAACAAGTAGGGAAGTAGCCCTGCCAGGCCACATGGCTGGCGAGAGGCAGCACGGGACCTGGCCCGTGCCTAGTCCATCTGGGCCCACACCTCCACCAGGGTGCCCGGGGGCTGGCCCTCGGTAAGGGCCCGCAGGCGTTTGTGGGCTGATCGGATGATCCACATTGTTGGAAAACGGGTTATTCACATTTTCCTCCCAGTGCCCTCCCCACATTCCATCCTCTCTGTCCCGAGACCAGCGTGGACAGGCTGTCCACCGCTCTCGGAGCCCACAGCCGTGGCAGGAAGCCAGCACAGGCTGACACCCTTGGTGGCCCAGCGGTCCCCAGGATGGGTCCTGGGTTCAAATGCTGGCTTCGCCCTGCTGTGAGAGGTGCTCCATCATGTTACCTGTCCCCACAGGCCAGGTGGGGCAGTAGTGCCCGCTGCCCACGGCTGCTGGAGGATCTCACAGTGACTCTGTGTTGAGGGAGGGAGTGGGTGCCACGTCCTTGGGGCTTCTCCTCCTGGCCTCTGTGCCGCATGGCCTGTGAGGTTGGATGCAGGCCAGGAGGACGGGGTGCAAAAGGGCCACGGATTGCGTGCCACGGTCTGGGGCACTAGAGGCAGGCCGGGAGCTGGGCCTGGCACACAGCATACGCCTGCCCAGTATATGTTGGTGCTCATGGGGCCTCCTTTTCAGGGCCTGTCCTGTGTCCCCCTGCCCTGGCAGGAGGTCATCAGGTGGGGCTGGTGTGAGCGGGGGTGGGGTGTAGGTTTGTCGTGGTTGTGATAGGAGCAGGTGAGAGCCCCAGGTAAACCGGCTGCTGCTGAGGGGGGGAGCGGGGTGCAGGCCGCTGGCTGGACAGGGTGTGTATGGGTGGGGGGACTCTGCTGGGGCCCAGGAGCCAGCTAATAGGGGAAGGGTGGCAAGAGCTGCCCACATAGGCCTGTGGTTTTGCTGGGGGTGGGCTGCCCAACCAGGGCTCACTCTCACGGTCCCCCAGGGGTGCCCCTGCCCCAGGTGGAGAGCGGGCCTCCCTCCCGGACAGGCCACAGCGGCCCTCCTGGGATCTGGCTCTAAGTGGTTGGCTTTAGGAGGGTCCTGCTTCTGCCCCATTTCACAGAGGAGGAAAGTGAAGCCCAGATGGGGGTCACTTCGTTGACAGTGGTACACCCAGGAAGCAAGACACCCTCTCCAGTCATGGCTGTGGCTGTCTCTGGGCAGTGTGATGGCCTTCTGCACCTGGTCATCACTGTGCTCCCTGTGCACAGCCCCTGACCGGGAACCGCCTGCAGCCTGAGAGACTCCGGCAAGCCCCTCTCTGCCTGGCAGAGCCTGCTCCTGCACCCCGGGACCCTGGGTCTTCCCCAGGCGGTGCTCTGGAGGTGTGGCGAGGAGGGAGGCGAGGCAGCCAGGCCAGCCTGGCGCAAGGGGCGGCTGCGGCTGCGCCTGCCCGGGAAGGCGGGCTTGGCTCCACGCAGGTAGCTCACACCCAAACCCGAATTCCAGCCGCCCAGGACGGCTGCTGCGGAAGAGGCCTGAGCTGTCCCGGGGCAGGAGTGCTTCCTTTCGTTTTTAAACAAACAAATCATGAATTTGGAAGTCAGAGCAGAGAAGTACCCAAGGTATAAAAATAGCCAGCAGCCACAAAGTCCCGTCCCACTCCTGCAGCCCGGTGCCTGGGAGGAGGGGTCGGAGAAGTCCGGGCTGTGTGCAGGCGTGGGCCCCTCCCCCTCGCGCTGGCCCGTGGGTCGGTCCGTGGGGGTCCGGGCGTCGGGGGAGGGCTGGGGGTCTTGGGGAGAGGTGGGGAGCCTGATTGGGGGGCGTCCGAAAGAGTACACATTCCCCCCACAGAGGGGCCCCTGCTCTGGCGTTGGGGCTCGCCGCCACACCCGGGCCTCAGTTTCTCCGCGCGTCGCGGGAGTGGGCGAGCTGTGGGTGCTGGGGCCGTCCTTTCGCGCTCCGCGCTGGCCGGGCCGGGCCGGGGTCCCCGCGCGGCCACCGCCCGGCCGCTTTGTGTGGCCGCCGCAGACAATGGCCCGGCCGCCGGGCTCCCGGCCCGCTCGCCTCCTCCCCCGCCGGCCGCGCGCGCGCGTGTGCGCGCGTGTGCTTTTGGCAGGCCGGGGAGGGAGTTCCGCGCCCGCCCTCGCCCCGCGCCCGCCGCGGCCGCCTCCCACGCCGCCCCCGCGCGGCTCCCGGGAACCCCTGGCGGAGGCCAACTTGCAAGTTTGGCGCGTGCAACTCGCGCGGGCGGGGCGGCGGGCGGCGGGCGGGGCGGCGGCGCTGCGCCGCAGGCGTCGCGGCCCCCGCCGCCCCCGCCGGCGCCGCGAGCGCGGTGACGGGCGCGGGGCGGCGAGGGGGCGCTGGGCGGCGGCGCGGCGGCGGCGCGCAGGCACAAGTAGTTTTTATTGTTGGGGACTTTTGCAAAACTCGCCGCGCGCGGCCTCCGCGCGCCGCCGCCGCCGCAGCCGCCGCCGCCGCCGGCTCCCGCCGCCCGGGCCCGGGCCGGCCGCCGGGCCGCGCTCGCCGCCGCGCGGGGCATGAGTGGGTCGGCGGCCATGGACACCAAGCACTTCCTGCCGTCGGTGAGGTGCTCGCGGCCGCGGCCGGGCCGGGCCGGCGGGGCGCGCTCGCGCGGCGTGGGCCGGCCCGGCCCGGACCTCGCGCCCCGCCGCCTTCGCGCGGGGCGGCCGCGTCCGGAGGTCGGCGCGGGGCAACTTTCCCGGCCGGGCGGGCGGGCAGGGCGCGGGCGCGGGCCCACCGGCGGGCGCGAGAGCCGGCGGGCTCGCCGGGACGAGGGTCCCCCGCCGCCCCGTGCGCCCCGGCCGCCCTGGCGCCCAGCCCCCGCCGGGCCGCGCAGGGACCGGCTGGAGCGGGAGGAGCAACTTCTGCGCTGCTCCGGGGCTCCGGCCTCCCTGGCCCCGGGACGGACGGCCGGGCCGATGGCCTCTGCGCTGCCGCCCCCAGCAGGCCGCCGGCCCCTGGCGCGTCTGCCGGCAGCAGGCTGGACCCCTCTCCCAGAAGCGGCCCGGCCCGGTGGGCAGGTCGCCAGGGGCCGCATGAACGGGACGGGCCCTCGAGCCTCGGAAGGTGCCATCCCAGGATTGGCCCCTCACTTGGGCAGCCTCGGTGTTCTCGTGGGGGAGGACAGCCCAGAGGCGCGGGGGTCCGCGCCCCTCTCCTCCCGCTGCCATCCCGCCCAGCTGCCCGCCAACTCCAGGCCCGGACTCCCCGGGAGGAGGAGTGGGCACGGCCCGGGCACCCACCCGTGGCCCTCCCCGGGGTGTGGAAGCCAGTGAGAGGCAGGGAGGGGGAGACTTTATAGATGGGCTCCGGGAAGGATATTAATTTGGTGGCGGGACGGCAGCCAGGCTGTCAGGCCGGAGAAGGATTTGTGCCGAGTGGAAGTTAAAACAGCTGATTGTGAATGAAGCCGAGTCCACGGCCCCTCCTGCCTGCCCACGCCCCTGCAGCCCGGGGTGCAGTGCAGCCTCGCTGGGACGGGCTCAGAACCCAGCGTGGGCGCAGGGCGTTTGGGGCGTTTAGTTAGCGCCCCAGCCCCCGGGACACGAGGGTGCCTGGGGGTGGGTGTGGGGTTCCAAGTTCGTCCCACCTAAGAAGACTCAGTGCCTGACCCTGTTGTGATGGCGGCCTTGGTGGCTGGGGCAGAGCGCTCTCCTTGCATGAGGGTGGGCACGTGTCCCCATTTTGCAGATGAGAAAACTGGCCCGGAGAGGCTGAGCTCCCAGGCTGCCAAGTGGTGGATTTGGAATTTGGACCTCCAGCAGAGAGGTGCGTGGGGCAGAGAAGAAAGCTGGGGTGTCCGTGACTTACTACCGCAGGGCCTGCGCGGGGCTGGCGGGGGCTCCCGTGCGGGAGGGCGGCGTCTCCTTTCCCCGCCAGCGGTTCGCCACACATGCGTGCGCACAGCTGGGCTCTCCCCGCGGTCCCTTCTGGAACGAGAATGCTCAGGACCCTCTCCGGCCCCTGGATGTGGCAGGGGCCTGGCTGGCCGCCTTGGGCTGGGCGGTGGGAGCGCAACAAGTCTCTGTCCCCAGTGGCCCCGGAGGGATGGGCTAGTCCCAGGAGTTAGCACACTTAGGGCCAGGGAACGAGGGTGCCCAGGCCACAGGGTCGCTGTCCTGGAGTCCCCGTGCAGAGGAGAGGTTGTGCCTTATAGCCACCGCCCCAGGGACCTCGGTGGGCGCTCCCCCAGCACGAGGAAGCTGGGAGTCTTCTGTGCTCGGAGCAGCAGCTCCTCCGACTGACCGATGGCCTCCCAGGCAGCCCACGCCCCAGGGCTGAGTGGAGAGTCCTGGGCTCTGATTACATTTTATTTTTTTCTAAGCTTGTGACCTGCTCTGAAGTCCAGTGCAGTTGAAGGTCCATTTAAGCGGCTACTTGCCTAAGCCCTTTTGTCAACACAGCCTAATCCCTCCTGGGGGGTGAGTGTCGGAGGGCCTGGCGGCTGGCTGCCTGGGTCAGACCCGGAGCTGCTGGGAAGGCAGCGCCCCTTGGAGCTGCCCGGCTGCTTTTGGGGTCTGGGGCAGAGAGGGCTACCTCCTCCCAGCATTCGCTGCTGCTGGGCTCGGTGGGCCTGGCGGGGCTCCCGGTCACCCCGCCCCCGCCAAGCCACTCAGGGAGGGCAGGGTGCTGAGGGGTGGCTGTGCCCGCTTGCCTGCTGGCCTCCTCCTGAATGGGGGGACTCTGAGGCTGAGCCTGCAAAGTCCAAGTGTCTCAGAACATACAGTCCCTCTCTGCTGCTGGTGGCCCATTTGCCCGAGGGGACCAGGGGGCCAGCAGCAAAGCTGTAGGCGCACTGACCACCCTCAGGGGGTACTCAGGGACCCAGGTGAGCCCGGAGCCAGGGCGAGGGGCTTCTGGTAACATCAGAGCCCTGGGGACCCAAAATAGAGCACATTCCGGGGCCTCCCGAAATAACAGGGTCACGTGACTCCCAGGAGGCTGGGCTTGGAGTCCGGCTGGGGCCTGACAAGGCAGTTCAGGTCTCAGCCCGGGCACTGCCGACTGTTGGGGCGTTTGTTTTGGTAAACTCCGGAGGGGGCTCTGTTTGTTGACTGGGAAAGTGTCAGGGTGAGAAAAACAGCCCGGTCTGACCGTTCCCGGTCTGACCGTGGCCGTGGCCTTGCTGGCCAGCATCCTTGCTTGGGCCTGGCTGCGGTGCCTGGGCCGGAGCATGCAACTCCGATTCCTCTGCCCAGCCGTGGGCGGGGCGAGCTGGGCCCCCGGGGGGGGGGGGTGGGTGCTCTGAGCACCCCGGGACACGCGGGGTGCCAAGTCGAGCCAGCAGCCCGGATCACACAGGGCTGGCTGCTGTGGGCTGACTCCCGGCTCCAGCTGTGCCTGTCCTTCAGGGCCTGTCGGGGCTCGCCTCCTCCCGGAGCCCCCGTGACTGCTCTGCCTCGGCCTCTGCCCCGTCCCCTCTTTGGCTCTTGGGGAGGTTGCTGTTGGTGGTTTGCATTTTCTCTCCTGGCAAAGGGTGTCTGGAGGGTTTGCTGGGCAATTCCTGGGCAGGCAGAGGTGGGGTGGGCAGAGGTGGGGTGCACCCAGGGACATGTGTCCCTGGGGCCTGGCTGTGCATGCTGGGGGGCTCTGGCAGCAGGGGAGGGTGGCACAGACGTCAGCTGCGTGGAAGGTGGTGTGGGGGTGGGGTGGAAGTCTTGAATGTCCACCTAGAGCCAGCTGAGGCTGCCCGGGGAGTTTCATTTCTTGGGCGGTGTCCAGTCTTGCCATGGCTCCAATGTTTCAGGGCCGGGGCCTTGGGTGGAGGGGAAGGCCTGGTCCCCTGGAGAAGGCGGCTCCTGGGCCCGGTGCCGTCCCAGCAGACAGGGCCGAGGCCTCCCAGCTGGCTCCGGGCCGGGCTTCACAAGCCAAGACCTGCCCTCCTGCCCTTCTTCACCGGGCTCCAAGTTTGCCTTCACTTGGCTTTGGGGGCCAGGGCCTTGAGGTATCCCACTCACCAGTCCGTTTCCATGGGAACTGGCCACTGGCCGGGCCAGGGCTGGGGCTGGTGTCCATTTGGGGGTCACCTTCCTGACCGCCGCCCCATTGCTCGTTAGTCAGGTGGGGTTCCCAGACGCTGTAGCGGGGTGGGTGCAGAGAGCCTGTCCTTCCCCTCCCTGTCCCTGCCCACCTGCCTGCGGCGTTTGCATTTTACATCCTTACTGCTCCCCCACCCCCAGCTGACCCAGCTGTCCTGGGTGGGGGCGGGGGTGGAGGGAGCCCAGGATCGGCACCTTCCCAGAAAAGGGCCCGGCTGGCTGTGTCCTGTCGCTTGGCCCGTGGTCAGGCTGGGGTCAAGTCCCGTGGCCTTGCTGCCTGTGTGGCCTGCTCTCTGGCCCCTCCGGGCCTCGGTTGTCCGTCTGTAAAATGGACGCACTTGTTGGCTCTTCCGGGTGCTGGGAAAGGCAGCCTGGTTTGTTGCAGGCTGGCAGGGAGTTGGAGGAGCCTCCCATTTGTGGGGTGTGTCTCCCCTCTCCGAAGGCGAGGCCTGTGGCCAGGTCCTGCCTGTGCCTCCTGCTCGCATCAGGGTGAGGCCAGGTCTCCAGTGTTGCAGGTGCTGTCAGGTGTGGGGAGCAGCCTCCGGGAGAGGGGGCGGGGCGGACGCTGAAGCAGCCCCTCCTCCGGGTGTAGGCCTGCCCCCAGAGCCCTCACTTCCTCCCGCCCCTGGGACCAGCCCCGCTGCAGGGACCCTTCCTTCCCGGAGGCCTGAGGGGGCGGGCGGGGCCGCGCGTTTGCACACCCACCCGAGCCTGGTGCGAGATGTTCTGAGCAGTTGTGCCCAGTGCCTCACAGACAGGGAAATTGCACCCTAGAGTTACAAAGCAATTGTCTGCTCAGCAGCTGAACGAGCGTGAAATGGGGCAGAAAGCAGCTAAGTAAGATTGGCCGAGCTGTCGCTGGGGAGAGGGGCAGGCGCTCGCGTGCAAGGCCGGGTGTGCCTGCTCACTGTCTCGCGCACTCCGCCTGCCCTGCCGGCCGCCGCTCCTGAGCACATGGGTCACGGTGCTTCCCGATGTTTTGTCCACCCTTTTATTCCAAATCTCTCCCAACTTGTCCAGACCCAGCCCTGTACAGAGAGCGCCTACTGTGCACCAGGGCCTTTGCTTGCAGGACCTTGGGGGGCTTCACAGAGACAAGCCCACTTTGTGGACGGGGAAACTGAGCTCTGGGTGAGGTCTTTGTACCCTGCTCCCCTGGTTCCCTGGGAGCGCCACTCCTGGTCTGGGGGAGGGCGAGGGCTCACTGTGTCAGCTCTGTCTTCTGGGTCTGGGGTCCTGGCCCCCTGGGGAGTGGAGGTCCTTTGATCCTTGTCCTAGGGTCGTCCTTGGCTGGGGGTCGGTGGGCTAGGAGAAGTCCCCACCCGACTGGGAAGGTATAGATTGGGAGGGCAGCGAGAGGCACAGCCTGCGGACCCCGGTGGCCTGGCGTCCACCTCCTCACCCTGCCAGGGCGGTGCTGTCTGGCAGCCTGGGGTGGGGACAGGGGAGGACAGGCACACTGGGTCCCCAGGGCAGGGCTCTGGTTATCTCTGCGGTCCCGCCCCCAGCACATGCACGTCACACATGTGCACGCACACATACGTGCACACAGCCCCACTCCACCCGTGCATGCAGTGGCCCTGGCCTGCCCAGTGGGACCCGACAGAGTCCTGAGCCCTTCGTGGGGAGGATTCTGGCCTGCTGGTGGGCTTGGGCCACGTGTGGCTTAGGGAGCCCCTGCCAGGGGCCGGCCTGGTCCTGTGGCCCACGGAGGAGGAGCCCTTCTAGGGTGGGCTTTGAAGGAGAGGGAGGGTTTAGACGGGGGGGAGCCACAGAGGCAGGGACAGCTGAGCAAAGGCTCAAAGGCTCAAAGGCCGGGTCGGAGGGAGTGAGGCTGGGGCAGGGAGAGGTGGTCATGTCGGCGGGGCGGCTGGCCAGGCCTGCGTGCCAGGCTCAGGTGCCTGGAGACTGCGTGGGTCCCCGGTGTGGTGTCTGTGTAGTCGGAACTGGGCCCGGCGCAGTGCGGGCGTGGGTGGGAGGCGGTGGGGCGGGGCTGGAAGGGGAGGCCCTCCTCTCTGCTCCCTCTGGCCCCAGGCGGGTGGGGGGGCCCTATGAGTGGCCATCCACCCTTGCCCTGGCTGGACCCCACAGTTTGGCAGGCTGGGCTGGCCTGGGGGGTCTGCCTTTGCTGGCCAGCGGCCCCCTGAGCTTGGGGACGGAGAGGAGCTGCTCCCCCCAGGCCTGACGTTGGCGTGGGGGCGGGGCAGCCAGGCCTCCTGGGGTCAGGGCAGGGACCCTGAGGGCCATGGAGGAGGCCGGACTTCCGGGCTGGGGAACATGGGGGATCTCGAGTGGGGGCGGCAGAGCCTCTGAGGGTCTCAGTGTGAGGAGCTGCCGCGGAGGGGCCTCCCTGCCGGGTCTGTCTGCTGCTCCTGACCGGCCCTGGCTCCGAGCTCCCACCGCAACGAGGCTCTGCCTGCTGGGGCCAGGGAAGCAAAGAGGAGCCCTCGGCCCGAGACCCTGCTTCCGTGGTGCCCTGGCCTCGGTGCACCCTCAGCCCGAGACCCTCCTTCTGTGGTGCCCTGACCTCCCGGCACTGCTGTTGGACTGTCTGAACAGCAGTAGTTTCCAGCCAGGCCTCAGTTTCCCTGGCTGTGCCCAGGCCAGGGGGCTGGCGGTGACTGTGGCCAGCCTAAGTCTGGAGCCTCCAGTGCTGAGGGGAGGGGAGGGAGAGCGGGCTGGGCCGGGGCCAGGTGGTGTGTAAATCCTGCAGCCGCCGCCGTGGAGGAG